AAGGGAAATGAACAATAAGTTATAAAAACAAGCAAAAGTTGAATTCAGTAAGCGTACATTGGTTACTCTGAATGTTTACACTAACCATGAGATTGCCATGTTGGATCATTTAAACCGGAAAGTGGTCTTGACCTTTAAGTCCCCATGCAATGGACTTTTACCATTTTTATGACTCTGCTCATTAAAATTAACAATGTAGTTGTAAAAAATACATTTCTCCTTTATGTTACTCTCTGGGTTTTTTTTACCCACTTCAGATCTAACACAAGACATTGCCCAGCTCTCATTCCTTTCTTTAGTGCATCTTTTTTTCCTGTTTTTGTCAAAGRTTTTGGTTCCAAGAGAGAAAAAAGTACAACGGTCCTTCTTCTGGCCCAAATAGATAGTTAGGCCTTGTCCACATGGGAAGTTCGTTTTGTGAATACACAAATGTTTTGTATTGTTTCAGCCTCACATCCACATAGAAACAGCATTTTAGTAGCACCTAAAACCATATTTTTTAAAACTAGGTTGCAGAATGAAAAATTGTTTGTAAAAAATTTTGTGTGGATAATGTAAACACAACTTTCTAAAAATTATGAAACCATTTTAACGCTTCTGTAATGGGGATCTGCAAATTTAATGTGTGCAGTGATAATAAAGGCATCTTGTCTTACTTTATGTGACATGAAGTAAAAGTTCCACTTTACATGGATTGTGTTTTTGCTCTTGCTTGTTGTGCTTACACTTTGTGGTGTCTGCTCTGTGCCTTGTTTCTTGTGTTTGGTCTATGTGTTTGGCAGTTTTATAGAAATAAATAAAAGCCTAGAATAGTTGCTGCAGCAATTCCATGTGGATAAAAAACCTTTTAAAAYCAGTGCTGTGTTCACAGGAGCATTTTTTGAAACCACAAATAAAAAGATTTCTTTGGAAAGACAATGCTTGGATAAGGCTTAATACTCATTAAACGTTCATACTTGCAAGAACTAAATGAAGTATATATTAAAGGATGATGGGAAGGCATCTAGTACTGTTGAAAAAAAAATCAATGTAACTCAGGTATTCAACATTTAATACAGGGTTTAGTTTAAAAAAAATCTCCTAAAAAACACAAAAATCAATTTTAAAGTTAACTCAACAAGCCTATTTTCAAAATAACTCTTTGCCCTTTTCCGTAGAGATTCTTAAATAAGATCATTATTAAACATCATGGGGTGGCTTTGGCAGAGTGGTTAGGGAAGTCGTCCCGGAATRGGAAGGTCACCGGTTCAATCCCCAGTCCAGCTGTCTCAGTTAGCGGCTGTGTCCAAAACGGCAGGCCGGGTCCTCCGAAGGCCGAATTCGTCGGCAGCATACGTCATAGCGCCGCAACAGACGTCTCAAACCGAAGACTCCTCCGATTCGGCCAACAAATATGTCCTTCCTTTTCCCCGATTTGAAGGACTGGCCTGATGGATCCCTCCCGGCCCAACATATCCCATAATGCACTGCGGCCCGACCGGAGATTTTTTTAAGCTAGTCATGGCGGACGAAGCGAGAGAAAAGAATATGTTTTGAATAAAAAGATGGCAATCTAAAAATTAAAAAATTTTAGCGGTTGTAATTCTAACTCTTTTTTCGTTTGTATAAACATGTTTTTATGTATTATTTTTGTCATAAAAAACGTGAAATAAACATGCTCCTACAGCGGGTCAATTAGTTCTACAGATGTTACCTTTAAGTTAATTTTATTGTTTTGTGATATTATTAATACTAATACTGTATATTGATATTTTTCTAATTTTGATCTATTTTTGCTTCTGTTTAGCATCGTCATGGTTGCTAGGTGACATGATGTACGCCGGGGTGGAGGGGAGGCTAGACCATCCAAATTCACTGCCTCTTTTTTTCCGGTCTTCCCGGGCTACCAAGGACCCGGCCCACCTCGACCGGGTAGTCTGGGTCCTCTGGAGGATCCGGCCTGTCATTTTGGACACAGCCGTTGTATCCTTGGGCAAGACACTTCATCCCTAATGCCTCTGATGTGTGTCCCATCAGTGAATGAACGTCATTGGCACTGATTAGTCTCCATAGGTGATTGTATATGTTAGCTTTGTAGAGACCTAATAGAGTGTTGTGTGAATGGGTAAATGAGGACACAGATTGTAGTGTGAAGCACTTTGAGTGTCCTGGATCGATAGAAAAGCACTATATAAGTACAGACCATTTATKATTTCAGCATGGTACTTTTTAGAAGGTGAGGCGTATCTTGTTGGCCACAGGTCCAAGTCCATTACCATCAGAGTCAAAGCAAACCTGGTCACACACTGAATTTCTAACCATAAAAACACAAATAAGGCTAAAGCCTGCCACTTTGCCTTGATTTACCTTTTGGACTTCTTTGTGGTTGCCTAGCATTTGCAGTTTTATAGGTAGGTCAGTTGAACGGGATCTTATAGGTCATTTACCTCAGTGTGTTTGTCTTGTTCTCAGCCTGCTCTTGCCTTCAACCTCACCTAAGGAGCTCAGGGCCGGTAAACCTTAAATACAGGGAGAGTTAAATGTGGGTAAAGGGGAAAGGTGGTGGTTATTGGGTATTTTGATAGGCYTCCACATTTCATCATTTCTGAGTACACTGTCTCTCTGTTTGCTTTATCTAATGATTAAAGAAGATGTTCCATACTGAGGTTAAAAACAAACTGCTCTGAGGAGTTCCTTTGGGTCTTTTTGTATGTAGAGTTCATGATGTGCATGGCAGTGTCCAAGGCCAAGAGAAAGCACCAGAGACATACACCACATGTTGCTTTTCTTTATACAACCAATATATCTTCTTGTTCACTAGACCTTTGTAAGTGAAAGCAGAACTTTTTGACTGTAAATTTAGACAAGATTGAGTAAAGTTTGTGTCTTATTTTCTACAGTTTTGAAAAGTAACTTTAGAAGCTTCCTAGCCAGTGGCTTGACAGTTCCCTGCTGCCTTGAGTACTTRTATTCCACCCTATTATCTCTTATTCCCTGGGCCTTGTTTGGTCCCTGGGTTTTATAGGAGGGTAGGAGAGGGCCATGAGGAAATGAGCTGACCCCAGGGTTACAAGTGGAGTCAGGGGCTGGAGCTGGAACACGGCCCTGCCAACCTTACTTTCTAAGGGCCGAGTTGAGTTCAAGCAACAAYAGAAAAAAGAAAAAAATATTTAAGGTGAGACTGGGGACAGGGTATGTGCCTTCTATCCTTGGCCCCACAATCGTATGAATTTAATTAAGCCAGATATGGCTTTGTTTACAAGCCCCAATAGTCTTAAATCTTTTGGCTCTTTGCACTCCTTCCCTTACCCTTTATTTCAACATTCTCTCAAACTTTGTGTCCTTCTTTGTGTCATCTCTTTAACATGGTGTCAGACATCTATTTATTGTGCTCTTTTAACTAGTTTTCAGGAACCAGTTACAAGCTCTTTGGGAATCCACCAAATAGGATTTGAGGGACACCCCTTCAAGACGTCAATCTCTTAGTGATGTGAAAAGCTGCTCACCCCACTAAAKTACCCCTCTACTGGAACCCAAGGGCTCTTTATGACCCCTTCAGGCACCCACATYGACGACTTACTGCTGACCTGTTGACCTGGCAGTTGAAGCCATATGAGAAGGGAATCTTTCGCTTGTCCCATTACATATTTTTTCTTCCCTCAGACTCACTGACGTCCTTTTAAGAAGGAAGATTTATTAAATTTCTCAAGTTCCTGTAAACTTTGCTTTCTTTTTTTTTCATCTATCTACCAACTAAATGTGTAGCTAGTTGTAGGTGATTCAGATTGTTTTCTTTGTTGTTATTTTTGTTTGGTAGGAGTTCGTTGTTATTTTTTGTTTGGTAGGAGTTTGAGTTTCACTACAAACTTTAGACACACATCAGCAGATTTTTTTTTAATTTAAGAACATCTGTGTTTTGCCCATGACTGTGTATTTGTAAATAGTTGGAAATATCTCGTGATTCACTGAACAGATTTTAATGAAACTTAAAACTATCATTGGGTTGACATCTACAACTGATAACATTTAGAGACAGCTCGATTTAAGGTGACTGCACAACCAAGAGATCTTGGCAAACATAAAAAGGTTTATAACTCCGTCGATTTTACAGATATTGAACTAAAATTTGGTGCTTTGGTAGCTGAGAAAGCTCCTTATACTCTGAGTCCTAACTGATAACGACATATGTGTTTAATCTACGACTGTATATAAAACATTGCTATTACAATCTGAATCAACTCTTTTTTTGTTAGCAAACTATCTCATAAAACAACAAATTTTATTAAAACTTTTAGAAAGTAATTATTGTGTTGACCTTAGTGTACTCAKAAATGGCTATACATCAGTGAATTTATTGATATTGAGTTAAAATTTGGCATTGTGGTAGGTGAGAGTCATTCATAACACATTCTGTTATTTCTCAACATATGATTGTCTAACTCTAAAACTCTGAAATAAGAAGTAGCAGGTCTTGTGCATTTCTTCAAGGAATGGTAGGCCTTTACCATTTTTTATGAAATGAACATGTAGTTTTTTTTAGATCTCACTAGATTAACATGCATCTTATCGAATTTTGTCAAGTAGCTACCTGCATATTTGCCAAACAGCAAAAACTCCCAATTATCTCCATCACATTAAAAATGTACACACATCTACACTGAACTTACAATTGGCTTACTGGCATGTTAACAGCTAATCAGCTTCCTGCAGAAAACATAATCCTCTGGTGTTGGGTTGCTAATTGGATCAGTTGGGTTAAATAAATGTTTGAGTTTTCCCGTGTATTGAGGCGACCTTGTGTTAAAAGCCTCTCTTCTTAGTCAAACATAGAGGGGGGGGAGTAAATGAGAGGGAAAGGTAATGAAAATAAAGAAAAAGCAGAGCTCATAATTGATAACATCCATTTTGTTCAGTGTGTTTTCCCACATGCCAAAGTTGTTTGAGTAAAAAAGGACATATTTGTGGTTTAAAAAAAGCTTGTTGAAATATGAGAGGGTTTAATAAATCCTTTCTCATTTCAGGTTCCAAATTCAGAGAGGAGCTTGTGACCCCACCAGCTATAAGAGTCTGGGGGACTGCTTCAGGACAATCTTCCTTAAAGAAGGGTATGTATTTCTAAACCAAAAATTTTCACTACTACTGAAAAAAGCAATTATAAAAAGAAATTTCATTTACTTTTGCCATTTCTTAAAATGTCAAACATTTTCATGTTTTTCTGCAAATGAGATGGTTAAGATGTTTGTCATTAATTGCTTTTCATAAACGATTTACAAATATATTTCGAACATGCTTTATTTTTTCAAATGACCAATATGTCTTTAAAATGTGTGATGTTTTCTAGAAAACTAAATGTATTTCTCTTACTGTGTTCTGATCATTTTTGATAGGTTTTTGACTGTTTTTGTTTACTCTGACAAAAGTTGTATCTTTAGAGACCACTTTAATTCAATTCTTTGAGACATTAGATCAGGAGTGTCAAACTCATTTTCACAGAGGGCCACATTAGCATTATAGTGGCCCTAAAAAAGCCGGTTGTTATTAACTTTGTTTTGTGTTAAACTTCGACTAAACACCAAAAGTCAACAAACAATTACTGAGCTCCATGTGGTATTTCATACATAGAAATAGGGTTTTAACATGTCCTCTTATAAACACTGAAAAGTATTGTGTCCATCTGACTACATATGAAATAAAGTAAGAAATTATTGAGTAAAAATAAGGAAGTTTTACTCACTGATGAGTTGTGATAAGTTGTTGTCATTTTGAATTCTGAACTTGGTAGGAAGCCACATTTGGCCAGTTGGCCATGAGTTTGACACATGTGCATTAGATGTAAAAGAAATCTTCAGCAGATGGACATCATTTCTGTCTCACTCCCTTAGGGGCATTTATTTTTGAGTGAATACACACACACACACACTTCACTCCCCTTTTGAGCTTTGCTAACGCCTGCAGAAATCTTTCGCTAACAAAGTCTTTCCCGCATGTTAAYATTTTTACCCACAATCCCAACATTATTTCAACCATACCTACTTACATTTCTTACAGAATTAGAATAATAAATGTTTTTGAGGCCTTGTTCATAACACATTTTGTAGGAACACAACGACAGCAGTGTGATACTGAGGTCCTTGATCATGTCTGGGATTGTAATGAAGAGAAAAGCCAGAGACCTGACATGAAGGATGCTATAAAAACAAAGCATCAAATTTAAGGAAACACTGAATATGATCCAGACCAATAAATAACTCATGTGGAGCAATTCTGTTATGAGGAAGAGATTGCTGATTGCTGCTACATTCTATTTTCTTTATTAGAGCGTTCAGAAAGTAATTTATCTTGTGGTTAAATTTTCAGCTGTAATTTTGGGTTTATGTTCTCTTTTCACTAAGTCATACTGGTCAGTGAGAACACCAGAAAAGGTTCTTATGTGCAACTGCTTTAAAATAAATCACCCTTATACATTTTGACAGTAATTTGTGGTAAAAAACACAATGTGTATCATCTGTAACTAATTAAAATAATTTATAAATAATATATTTTTTCCATTTTACTGAAAAACAACTTGTGTGACCCATGATCAGTGAGGCCTTAGCATTAGTTTATAACATCGGTTTTGTCATAAATTTATAATCGTATGTATATTGGGACAACACCTTAAAGGAAAGGGTACTTTTCAGTCTTGAAAGCAGAACTGTGTGTCAGAAGTAAATCTTTGTAATAACATCTGTTTTGAATCACAATTTTATCAAAKTTGCTAAATTATTTAGTTGTAATGTCAATGATTGGTAAAATAGATGAAGAATTTAAGGTGTTGTAAATGTGATTCTTTCCAAAAGTTGCTGTTTGTGTCTGCCTTTAAACGTCCTTATGCAGCAATCTGCTGTTCTCCGCAGTTCTAAGAGTAGACTAACTAAAGACAGTCATCCTGCTGTGCTCCTTCCTCCTCCTCCTCCTCCTCCTCCTCCTCCTCTGCCTGCTTTGTGACAGCTCTGTGAGACAGTGCAGGTGGAGGAAAAAGTGTTGGCCACTTGGTATGTTTACGGCGAGTCGACAGCTTTACTGAGGATATAAAGTTGATCTGCTGTGAGGTGTGAGCGAGCACGTGGTGAGAGGGCGGTTAGTGACAGTTAGAAATCCTCATTTGGCTGGAGTTCATCAAACACAGCTATCCCACTACAGTAGCTGTGCTGTTTTCATCAACCCCCACCCCCCTCCACCCCAACCCAAACACACACGGCCCACTGTAACTCTGTTATTTAACACCTTTGTTGATAGTTTTTTTTATATATTTTTTGAGTTGGTCTTTYGGATAGTTGGTCCATAAAAATTTCCAATAAGCAGCTTGACACAGTGCAGTTATTTCTAAATTACATCATCAAAATAAATTAGTTGGGGTGGGGGGGGGGGTGTAGGCAGCTGACTTTGAGCTCACACAGCAAAGTACTGCGATGTGTCYAACAATCCTCAATCACTGGAGATCCACTGTTTTGTTGGCCAYTTATCTTTTTACAGTATGTTTTTGCTGAGTCTGTAATCACCCTCCATTATCACATTGAGACTGTATCCAGACCAAACTGCTTATAATTTATACAAATAATGTTAAAGCCAGCTGTTGCAGAATTACTATTAAAAATAAACATTCCTACCCAACTTACGGCATCACACAGCTAACACCAGGCCTTACACTGGTTAAGTTGATGAGGAAGGAAATTCTAGCTTTCCTCAGTTTAGTGACTAAAACAGACTTGATACAATAGCTGTAGTGTTGCAGTAAGATATATTTAAACACTTGTACCTGAAGAAAAGATGAGGAATCTGTAAAACTCAAAATCTATGTAAACTATACATTTAAATGTGGCTGTTTTACATMTGTAACCATGTAAACTCACCAGTACTTGTTTTGAAAGTTTTACATGTCAAAGCTCTTTATATCCTTGGCACTGACACTTTTAAATGACTGGATTTTTTAGTTTTGTGTTATTTGACAGTGTGTTGCAGCTATTTGATGGCTACAAACAGCTGGAATAAGGTATGAAAATGAACTCAAAGAGGCTGTGAAATTTAAAAGAGCTGTACAACATGGTTGTGTCGTTTCCAGATGTGTTCTCCTTTTATAGTGAGTATGTGTTGAGTTCCATAGAAGCAATGCCTGGCATCACAGTTGAGGATAAAGATGTCAACATTTTACACTATTCCAATGATACGAACCACAGTCTACCAAACCATTACTATGAAAATCACTGATGGAGAAAGCATCAACATTAAGAAAAAACTACAACACCTGGCAAAAAGTATGGAATCACCAGTCTTGGATGAGCACTCATTCAGACATTTCATTCTGTAAAACAAACTCAGATCAATAACATGATACAATAATAAGGTCATTTCAAAGTACAACTTGTTGACTTTCAGGAAAACTCAAAGAAATGAAGAGAAAACATTGTGGAAGTCAGTGAGTGTTACTTTTATTGACCAAGCACAGGGAAAAAAATATGGAATCACTCAATTCTGAGGAAAAAAATATGGAATCACTCAATTCTGAGGAAAAAAAATATGGAATCACTCAAATTGGAGGTAGAAAATAAGGACACACCCAGTCAATTTCCTTTCCCTAAATGGACACCTGCCTCAGATTAGATCTGCTCGTTAGTCTGCAGTTAAAAACACCTGCAGTCATGACATCTTGAAGGGCTGCTGGACGAAGTGGTGTGGCAAGAACCATGGCTCCAACAAGAGAAATGAAACAAAAGAGTGGATTGTGAAACTTCTTGAAGAAGGTAACTCTTCACGCATGGTTGCTAAAGATGTGGGCTGTTCACAGTCAGCTGTATCCAAGATATGGACCAAATACAAACAGCATGGAATGGTTGTTAAASCCAAGCGTACTGGTAGACCAAGAAAGACATCAAAGCATCAAGACAAACAACTCAAGGTCATTTGTCTTGAAAACCGAAAAAGTACAACTAAACAGATGAAGCATAAATGGGAGGAAGCTGGAGCCAATGAATGTGACCGAACCGTAAGAAATCACCTAAAGGAAATGGGATTTCAATACAGGAAAGCTAAAAGAAAACCATCATTGACACCTAAACAAAAAAGAACAAGACTGCAATGGGCTAAGGAGAGGCAATCATGGACTGTGGATGACTAGATGAAAGTTATCTTCAGTGATGAGTCAAGAATCTGCATTGGAGAAGGTGATGATGCTGGAACATTTGTCTGGTGCCATTCCAGTGAGATTTATGAAGAGGACTGCCTGAAGAAAACAACCAAATTTCCACAGTCCTTGATGATATGGGGCTGCATGTCAGGCAAAAGCACTGGGAAGATGACTGTGGTTCATTCTTCTATCAATGCACAAGTTTACATTGACATTTTGAACAGTTTTCTCATCCCTTCAAWTGAACAGATGTTTGGAGGTGATGAAATAATTTTCCAAGATGACAATGTATCGTGCCATACGGCAAAACAGTGAAGGCATTCCTTGGAGAAAGACATGTTCAGTCCATGTCATGGCCTGCAAATAGTCCAGATCTCAACTCAATTGAAAACCTGTGGTAGAAATTGAAAAAAAAAGTCCACAAGAAGGCTCCGATCTGCAAAGCTGATCTGGCAACTGCTATCAGAGTTAGCACCAAATTGATGAAGAATACCGTTTATCACTCAAGTCCATGCCTCAGAGACTGCAAGCTGTTATAAAAGCCAAAGGATGTATTTTGAATGGTCTTTTGTTTGTCTGTTTTTAATGATTCCATACTTTTTTCCTCAGAATTGAGTGATTCCATATTTTTTTCCCTGTGCTTCGTCAATAAAAGTAACACTCACTGACTCCCACAATGTTTTCTGTTCATTTCTTTGAGTGTTCCTGAAAGCCAACAAGTTGGACTTTGGAATGACCTTATTATTGTATCATGTTTTTGATCTGAGTTTGTTTTACAGAATGAAATGTCTGAATGAGTGCTCTTCCAAGACTGGTGATTCCATACTTTTTGCCAGGGGTTGTAATCAWGATAATCACTAAGCAGAAAGAAATATGAGTGTGTAACATCAAACGGAACGAATCAGGGCTAAAACAAGTCAAGAGTTTTAAATATTTTCATGT